TCAGAACTTTGCGTTTAATCCCGCCCAAAAAATGACGCTTCGTTTGTCATCATATAAAAACTCTTGCAAAACGTTTGTCTGTACCATTTCTTTCCCCTCGTTTGTCGAGTGTAGAGTGCATTGTATTGCTGTTTTATTGAATCCACGTTGTCATCACTATATTCAGAAAGTACGACAGCTTTTACTGCGATCTTCAGAATCCCCTTCTGGTTCTGGTGATTTTTCATAGACATTCAATCAGTCTTTGGTCACATCCGAGTATTTCTTCATTTCACCATGAGTTCTGTGGAGCAGATTAGTGTCATCCAGCTGCCTAAAGAGGTAGATGTCTTCCACTACCACCGCATGCAGTACTCGTCCGTCTTGCACCAAGGACAACGTAGCAAGATTCTCTTGGCGAGGAGCCAAATCATCCCTGACAAGAAATTCGCTGTCAAGCAGATGCCTCTTCGCTCTGATGAGGATAGAGATCGCTTCAGCCGTGAGATGTGGCTGATGAAACTGGCTTCTGACATACGTGGAGTTGTGACTTTGTTGCCTCGTCCCGTCTTCTGTGGTCCCACCGGCTATCTCATCATGCCGTTCTACGATAAGAGAGACCTGCTCTCGCGGACAGGGAAACTCAGCGACGACAACTGGATGAAAGTGTTTGTCAGGGTGAGTGCATTCATATTATTATTCTTATTCTTATTATGCTTCTTCTTTCCTTCTTCTTTTTTATGTTTGTTACTCTCTTGTAACACCTCTAATCATCTGGCGCTCATATGACATTATGCAGTTGCGAGCGCCGTAAAACCTCTACTGAATTTTTAAAAATTATATTTGTTACTTCAATGTATATTGTTTCTATATCGTAACTCTTTTTGATTCACTGTTACAATTAAGGCTATGGAGAAACGAGAAAGTGACATTAGTTAATAACTAATGAGTCTCAAATTCTATCAGTTTATTAATATTTCTACCTGTACACACACACACACACGTCTTTCATCTTAATAATGACAAACACCAGGGCAGTACACACCTGTCAGACAACATGTATTGTTTTATATTTTACAAATGACATCAGTCCCAAAAAAATTTTTTATAACAGAGAAAAACAAACATTCATTAAGTGTTTTAGAAAGTTTGGATACAGTTGAAATGTGCAAGATTACTCTTCTTCCATCTCTTTCTCTCCATTTCTCTCTCTCTCTCTCCGACTCTCTCTCTCTGTCTCTCTGTCTCTCTCTCTCTCTCTCTCTCTCTCTCTCTCTCTCTCTCTCTCTTTCTCCCTCTCTTTCTCTCTCTCTCTCTCTCTTTCTCTCTCTCTCTCTCTTGCATTTTTTCTGACAATTTGGGAGGAAGAGCTGTTTCTTTTTATGCCTCTATCTAACATTTGGATTTCCCTCCTAAATGAAATTCATATGCCAATAGAGAGTTTTTAAATGGTCTAAAGACACATTTGTTCAGTTTTCAGTACTATCTTCTGCCTGTAAATGTTGACTGCGATAAAGTTTGTGTGTGTCGGGGAGTTTTGTGTGTTTATATGCGTATGTGTGTGTTTTTTTAATGGTTTCACAATGTCCATTTTCTTTCTCTTAATTTGTTAGTGAAATGATAATTCTGCATTGTACAGCGGTAATCTTGTCTTGATTAGGCGCTATATAAAAACCTTCATTATACTATTTATTACTATAAATTTCTCTCTGTCTGTCTGTCTGTTTCTGTCTCCTTCTGTCTGTCTGTCTGTCTGTCTGTCTGTCTGTCTGTCTGTCTGTCTGTTTTTCCGTCTGTCTCTGTCTCTGTCTCTCTCTCTCTCTCTCTCTCTCTCTCTCTCTCTCTCTCTCTCTCTCTCTCTCTCTCTCTCTCTCTCTCTCTCTCTCTCTCACACACACACCGGTCTTTCTCTCTCTCTCTCTCTCACACACACAAATACACAAACACACCCTCTCTCTCTCTCTCTCTCTCTCTCTCTCTCTCTCTCTCTCTCTCTCTTCTCTCTCTTTGTCTATCTTTTCTCTCCTCTTTCGCTCTATTTCTGTTTTTTCTCTTCACGCGGTGGGGGTCTCTCTCTCTGTGTATGGCTCTGTGGCTCTGTCTCTCTGTCT